TTGTTGAGACTGCACATATCATTACCTAAGTAGAAAAAACTGTGGATCAGAACTTCTTGAAGAAAATTAGGCTCAGAATTAGGATTAGAACTTCTATAAACTGTCGTGTTTTTATTTTCCTATTTTGTTGTTGTTAAGAACTTAATAAGTTGCAGATGATCTGGCTAATATAAGGAAAGAGGTGAAGTGTAACATAAAACTTCTGAGTTTTCTTTCCCACTATTTTGACACAGTATTAGAATTTCTAGTTTTTTTTCTCACTGTTAACACAACATCAGATTTTCTAGATTTTCTCTCTCTCATTGTTTTAGCACAACATCAAAACTTCTAAAAATTTTCTCACTGTTTTAGCACAGTATGATACAGTGGTAGAACTGACTTGGGTGTTTTGCTTTTGATCGCAATTGTGCGGATAGCAAGAGTCGCCATCGACTTTTCTTTTATCCAATAAGGAAAGGCTGAAAAGACCAGGAAAGACCTTTAAAGATGTTTTTCTTGAGTTCGGGGGGTAGATTATGAAAAGGGAAGGTATTAGCACCATTTTCATCCGTAGTTATCTACGGGCTCTTAATTGCTTGCTAGATCACTTGCTTTTTGTTTGAATGTGCTTGTGGTGTGGGTTTTGAAAGTATTTTTGAAAATGTCTTTGTAATGGTTCTCGTTTCTATAAGAACGCGTACAAAGTGTTTTTTAAAAATGTTTCAAATGAGTGTATTGGTGTATGAAATGTTTTTGTTATGAGCAAGCGAGCAACTAGGAGCGAATCTACCTACTTAAAAGGTCTTAAATGTTCTTTTCTTCCTCCTTTAGATGTTACTATCTTACTATTGATTTGGTAAGAAGCCCCATCATTGGATATGAAGGGACGAGCGTGGGACGTTTGTATAGTCATAGAAGGCAACCTATGGGACGTTTTAGCAATGTTGTTTTAGGGACTAGATCGCTTACCGAAGGCAACATTAAAGGTCATCGAGGGACTACAATATTTTATCTAGGGCCTTTGCTAAAACGCCCATATTCGAGGGACATGACTATTTTCTGATAAGCAACGAAATGGGATTACCCTAAGGGTGCTAGTGTGCAAGTGCATTTGATTAGATGCATTTAATCTTTGATTTTTTTGGGTTGTCTATTTGTTGATTTTATGTCTTGCCATACACACCCTAATTACTAGCATTTATACTTTAAAGCAATAAATTACGGAAATGTAAAGGTCCTACACTATTACATCATTTAGGGATGGGGGTACAAATTTGTAAATAGGGGGTTGCAAGAATTTAAATCCTAATTAACTATTACAACCATATTGAAATGTACAATGCAAAAAAAGAAAGGGACTTGTTTAGGAAATGTTTTTTGTCTTAAAGAAATAAATTAATTAATAAAAAGGAAATATTTTTATGTCTTTTTTATATTAATAAAAAGGGTATTAATATTAAAAATGATTTAAAAAAAGGGAAATAATGAGAGATATAATTAGCATGCTGTTGAAAGCAAAACAAAGGGGATCAGAAGTTCTGATGTCGGGCGCGCTGTGACTCAGAAAGAAATGTCATAGGGAATCAGAAGTTCTGGATTGATATACTCTGAGGTCCTGCAAGAAACATTAGAGGAAAACACAGAAGTTATGGGTTGCTACATGCTGAACTTTTGAGTGTTAGAACAGTAAGAAAGTCTTAGAAGTTATGTGTATTAAAACAATGAGGAGAACTCATAAGTTCAGTATGTGCTAATACAATGAGTGAATATCAGAAGTTCAGGGTGTGTTAATCGCGAGTGAAAATCAGAAGTTTTGAGTGTTAAAATAGTGCGTGAAAGCCAGAAGTTCAGTGTATGTTAATATAATGAGTGAACATCAGAAGTTCAGGGTGTGTTAAACCGCGAGTGAAAAATTAGAAGTTCTGAGTGTATAAAACAGTGTGTGAAAGCCAGAAGTTCAGTGTGTGTTAATAGAGAGTGAAAATCAGAAGTTTTGTGTGTGTTTAAAATGGTAAAGAGAACTCAGAAGTTCTGTGTGTGTTAAAAATGGTGAAGAGAACTCAGAAGTTTTGTGTTACATCTCAACCCTTTCCTCCTATTAATCAGCACATCAACAATTTATCATATCTTTACAACAGCAAATAAGAAATATAAAAGCACAACAATTCATAGAAGTTATAATCCTAATTCTGAGCCTAGCTTTATTCAAGAAGTTCTGATCCACA